TTTTAGACAGAGTCTTGCTATGCAGTTCAGGTTGACTTCAAACTCACTGTGTCAAAGAGGCTGGCCTTGAACTCATGGCAGTCTTCTAAAGTCAGCCTCCTAAGTGCTGGGATTACAGTTTTGCACCACTATGCCTGACTTTGAAAGTATATTGTGTACACATTTTTTTTATGTTTTTGGATTTTTGAGACATGGTTTTGTGGTATAGTTCAACTTGATCTTGAGCTCTGTCTAGCTTAGGCTAGCCTTATACTCATGACAATCTTCCTGCCATTTCCTCCCTAATGTTAGGATTGCATCTGCCTGCTTTAAGAGTATATTATTTAATCTTAATGTGTTTGCATAATTTTTGTGGTTTATTTTGCCATTAGTTTCTAGTTTCATTGCACTATGATCTGATAATATGTTTGGGATTATTATGATTCTTTTGTATGTATTTAAGCAAGTTTTATGGTCTAGATGTGGTCTGTTTGGGAGAAAGTTTCATGTGTTGCTAAGAAGATTGTGTTTTCTGTTGGGCTGAAAAATCACAGTTATCTATTAGCTCCATAGATTCCAAGCTGTTAGAGAAAAATAACAAAACATTTACAAAGGTAAATGTATTAGAGTGGTGATAGATTTCTCAAAATCTATCATTTGTTACTTTTTGTCTAGTTATTTGTGCAAGTGTTGTTATGTTGTTGATGTTTATTTCATCTTTTGTGTTCAGTAGTATTTGTGTTATGAAGTTGGGTACCCTGGTATTTGGAATGTATATATTTACAGTTGGTATCTTCTCCTTGTGAATTATTCCCTTTATATTTGTAGTGATCTTTTTTCTTCCTGTGAACAGTTTGGTTTGAAGTTCATTTGTCTGAAAATAGGGTGGCTCTTCCTGCTTGTATGAAATACTGTATTTAATTCTTTGATTTTTTTTTTTTTTTTTTTTTAGTCTGTGGGCTTCTTTAGATTACTTGTGTTTCCTTATTGGGGAGTTGAGACCTTTTACATTGAGAGTTATTACTGAAAGGTTTGGCTGACCCCTGCCATTGTGTTGTGTGTTATTGTTGCTAATTCCTTTCTTTTCCTAGTTCACACTGCTCCACATGTACATTCTATTAGGCTTTTTGATATTGATATATTCATTGTTTCTGTGTAGGTTATGCTTGAGTATTTTTTTAGTGCTGGTTTGTGTTTTTTCATTTTTTTTTTTTTTATGGGTACCAGGGATTGAACTCACAACTGCCTGCTTGCAAGGCAGGCGCTTATGCCGCTGAGCTAAATCCCCAGCCCTAGTGCTGGTTTGATAGTGATAAATTTCTGAAAGTGCTGTTTGTTGTGGCTACTAGTATATTTATTTTGAAAGATCTTTTTCAGGATATATTAACACAGTCCTACTAGTTTGGATCACTGGTGGTATACATACCGTTGGGTGACTTGTATCACTGGTGGTACAAACAAATCTAATCACTTTATCACTTTTTTTCACTTGACCAGTCTTATTACTAATAAAATTAACAAAAAAGCCTCACCCAGTAGGACAGCCATGCATGTATCACTGGTGATTCAAACCACCAGGCAGTGAGACATACAATTATATCCCTGTGGTAAGTGTTAACCTGGTTGGAAAAGGTTTCTTTTTCTTTTTTTTTTTTGGGAGTGATTGCAGCTTGAAAAACTTCCTTCTGAGGTCAAATGTCCTTTCGGGTTTATTTTGAGAAATCTACCACAATTCTAATAAGTTTACCTTTGTATGTGTTTTGTTATTTTTCTTTAACAGCTTAAAGTCTATCCTTGTGTTGGACTTCTGCTATGTGAGGATCTTTTCTGGTCATTCCTATCTGGAACTCTATATATCTCATTTACCTGCGTGTTGAATTCTTTCCTCATACTTGGAAAGTTTTCTGCAAAAAAAATTTTTAATGCCATTCATGTTTCATTTTTCTCTAATTTCAGTTTTTCAGATTAGTCTTTGTGTCATCTAGCAAGTGTTAGATCCATTTCCCATGGTCTCTTGTTTTTAGGATATCTCTGAGTATCACCTGCATCAATCATGTTTTCTAGGTCTGTCATCACAGTGGTCACTTCTTTTGCCCATATTTTGAATGGCATTTCTTGTCTTGCGGATTCCTCTTTTGGATTTTTGAGACAGGGTCTCAATGTGTAGATCAGGCTGGCCTTGAATTCACTATGTAGCTAAGGCTGGCCTTGAACATATGGCGGTTGTCCTCCTTCCTTAGCTTCCAAATGCTGGGATTACAGGTTGTGCCACCTAAATTTTTGTTTGGTGGATTTTCATGAATTCTATTTGGCTAAATTGGTCATTCATATTTTGCATCATTCTGGTTAGCTGTGCTAGCTTTTGTGTCTATTTTTGAAAAGTTCATTGTATGTTTTGTTACATCATTTTTGAGCTTGCTGAGCACCTTATTGATCTGATTTTGTTTGTGCATTTCTTCATTGTTCTTGCAGTACTTTCCCCCATGATGCCTATTGGATCAGCTTTGGGGGAGTTAGGAATTTTGGGAGGTGTTTTGTGGCTTTGTTTTTTTGTGTTTCAGTTGTGTTTGTTTATCTTATGTGCTGATTATTGGTGATCAGTTAGACTGGTGTGGAGATCTTTAGTTTTCTGTTTTTCAGTGAAGCGATCTGTGTAGGCTTTGCCTTTGTCTTAAGATCAGATACCCTCAGTTAATTTGGGGAATGCTTTATCCCAGTCCCCTGAGATTTTTATTACCCTATTTATGCCTCTGGAATATGTTTTTTTCCTTAAAATTTCCTATCTCAACCTTACAGAAACTATTTCCTGGACAAATGACAACTTTTGGGAGGTTGGTTGGTTTGTTCAGTGTTACTGTAGTTTGAAATGCACTGCACTGAGCTGCATTCTCACTGCTTTTAAAAATTATTTTGAGATGAGGTCTCACTAAGTGTCTTAGTTATTTTTCTCTTCTTGCTGAGAAAAAAATAACTGCCTAAAATTAAGGAAATAAAGGTTTATTTAGCCCACACTTTGTGGAGGTTTCATTCTGTAATCACCTGGCTTCAAGCAGAGTGGCGTGGCACTCACACCCCTAATCTGAGCACTAGACAATCACAAACTCTAGATTCAGCCCTCTTAGAAAAATCACACTTCCCCATGACCACATGAGGCTTTGGGAGGGACATCCAGAAATAAAACATAACATTATGCCCCAGCCCCCCAAAGACTCATGTACATCTTTTATACAAAATGCAGTTTAGTCTATCTCTAATAGTTGCCAAAGTCCTAAAAGTTTCAGCATTGCTGATAAGTATTTAGTCCCAAATCTCCTGTGAGATTTAACGAAAACTCTTAGCTGTGAGCCTCTGTACAAATGGAAAGAAAGTTAAACACTCCCAGCAGTTCAGTGGCACAAGATTAGACATTTTCATTCCAAAAGTTACAAATGGGAATACAAAGAAATGGTAAGTATTGCCACCACCATTCTGGAACAAGGTGCTCTTCGACTTTCCTCTCAATGCAGTCTTTCACTTTTGTTGCAGTTTTGAGTGTGCAAAAGGTGGAATGCTATTGCTTCTCATGATGCTTACCGGCCAGCTTTTCTCTTGTCCTGTTCCTTCACAACAGTCAAGATCTCTTTTGCTTTACCTTTGCAGTCCGCATCTTTACTGGAGCTTCCTTCTGGTCAGACTCTCAACATTTTAAATCATTCTGCTGTACGCTTTGCTCTTGATTTTCAACATAAATCTGGCTAAAGATGCCCAACAATAGCTTTGTCACCACGTCAGCATTCAACTGCCTTGAAATTTCTTTCTTTCTTTTTTTTTTTTTTTCTTCAGAAATATTCCACTGTAATGCCTTGAAATTTCTTCTGTAAGATTAATTAGTCGGCTGCCCTTAATCTTAGTCCCAGGCAATCTTTGGGCAGTTTCTGGGCAGAAATGCAGACAAACTTTTTTTGCCAAGCCATAACACACAAAATTTGAAGTCCGATAGCCGATGTGGTCCTTCTCTCCAGAGAAACCTCCAGAGTCTGGTCTTTCCTAGTAGGATTTCTATCAGCCTTCTAGTCTTCTGAGCTCTACCAGAATCTCCCATATAGAACAGCATAAAGCATTGCAGCTCTGCTCTTTCAGGCAGCATCTCCAGACCTTTCCAAATTCTTCCCACAATCCATTCCCAAAGGCGTTTGAACTACATGGTAAAGTATAGACACAGCAACAACTCTGCTTCTTTGGTACCAAACTCTGCCTGAAATTAAAGAGGAAATGTTTATTTAGCTCACAGATTGTGGAGGTTTCAGTACATCATCAGCTTGCTCCAAGGCAGGAAGTGGTGTGGCACAGAGGCAACAGTTCATGTTGGTGGAAGATACCAAAAGCAACAAGAGCAAAAAAATGGAAGCAAGCCTCTTTTTATATGGAGGTTACCTGCTTTAGGGAAGGTATATTATACATTCACAAACCCAATCCCAGCACTAGATGGTGAACCAGTTGCAAAGTCTAGATTTAGCTGCCTCAGAAAATGCCCACCATGACAGTGTGAGACGCTAGCTGGACATCCAGACACAAAGCATAACAGTAAGTCACTAAACAACAGAGTCAGAAAATCAACAGCCCTGTGACTGTGACTGACCCTAGGAAGGGTATTTCAGGAGACTCATGTTGAACTCTGAGAGACATCCGCTCAGGTGACCTGGGAGAGAAAGAAGGCAAGAACCCACGGAAAAGGTAGCAGCTGGGTAGTTGGTCAAGCTGGGCTTGAACTTTTAGGCTTCCTGTTTCAGCCTCCTCGTACCATACCAGGTCACAGATTTTTTTTTCCTTGTTCTTGTGAGGTATAGAAATCATTATGCAGTTTAGGCTGGCCTTGAACTGGTTTCGTAGCTCAAGCTTGCCTTGAACTCAACAGTGATCCTGCCTCAGCCTCCCTAGTGTGGGATAACAGGCTTGCACTACCATATCTGGCACAGGTCATTGATTTTAGACCTTTTGTAGGAGCTATAAATGATGTCCAATCTTTGCATTGTTTCTGACAGGTTGAGCATGGAAGGACTGGAAACTGCCAAGGAGTCTAGCTCCGAGAGTTCAGACGATGACAGTGAAGAAGCACCTAGTACTTCGGGAATGAGCTTCTCCACTCCAAAATGCAGCAGAGATCATATTGAAGTGGCAGCTGAGTATCCCAACAGGGCTCAAAGGGCAAGAGAACTGACACCAGACTCTGAGTCGTCAGAAAAACAACAGGACCCTGCGACTGACCTTAGAAAGTGTATTTCAGAGGACACGTGTGCTGAACTAGGACAGACATCTGTTGAGGAACACAGGCAAGAAGAGATGGTTAGAGGAACAGAGGCGACCTGGGAGAAAAAGAAGGCAGAGCATCAGGAACCCGCAGAAGAGGTAGCAGCTGGGACTGTACTGAATAAGGATAAAGAGACAAAAGAAATGATTGATGGAGAAGGAACTGCCACGGTAGCTCCTGGAGAAGATAGGGGGTCCATCCCTGTTGCAAAAGTAGAGGACACTGCATCAGGAAACACAGTAAGTGTTACTGTCTTGGTTTACTGTCTAGAAGAAAATCCATATAACTGCCATGATGTCATTGAATGAAAATGTGCTTTTTTTTCCAGTCAGTTTTTTAGTGAAACGATTATTTAATACTAAAGTCAGATGATGAAATTTGTCTCTCTGAAAAGATTGCAAGCTTTGGAATTTATACTGATTTGCCACTAGTGTCTGGAGTTTTATATTTCATCAGTTCCAAGATGCATGCTTTTCATATTGTAGCATCTCTGAAATCAGATGTATATATCATGTGTTATAGTTTAGTTGGTACTGCTTATTCTTTTTTTTTCTTCCAAAGTTTTATCAAAGGTAGGAAAAGAAAGAGGCTCTGCAGATCAGTTTGGGCAGAGCAGAGTAAGAGTGGGACAAGAAGTACAGCCCTATAGCCAGAGACAAGAAGAGAGACCACAGTGACCAGTGCTGCTTATTCTTACTACATGAGAGTATCTAAAAGGTGGCAATTTAGATTTGATGAAGTGTTTCTATTTCCTGTTGCTAAATTACTGCTTTTCTTCCGTATGTGAGACAGTTTGAATAAAGATTGTTAACTAGATGAGAACATCTTTGCTGTAGAGTAAAAGGACTCAATTGTTTTTTTAATTTATCATGATATCTTACTGCATTCAGTCTGTTACAGTTTATATCTACAACTTAAAGCCTCATGTGTGGAGCTTTGGGAATTGATTGGATCGTATGTTTGTGATCTGTACAGTGGAGTAGTCAGCTGAAGAGTTGATAGCTAACTGTGAAGTTGGGAGGAGGTGGCTCACTGAGGCTGTGGCCTGAAAAGTGGTATCTCCTATCTTTCTCCCTTGATACTGCTCTGCTTCCTGAAGTGGTGCCACAGTGGTGCCTGTACTGCCATGCTGGCTGCCTTGGAGCAAGCTGACTCTGAATTAAAACTTCTGTCAACTGAGAACTAAAATAAACCTCTTCTTTAACTTGCGGGTATCAGGGTTTTTGTCCTAGCAATGAGAAAAAATAACTAAGGCAGTTTTGGGTAGCTTACAGTGGGGTTGTTGCTGTGATAGTACTTGACCACATAGTTCACAAGCCTTTGGAAACGCCTTATAGGAAGAGTTTGGAAAGATTTGGAGATACCAGCTTAGACTTCTGTGACCCCAGCTTGATGGGAGATTCTGGTTGGATGAGCTTAGAAGATAGAATGCTGCGAATAATGCTGGTAAAGATGGAGCTTGGATTTCTGTTGGAAAGAAATGATACTATCTCCATACTGACTCTGGTAGGGAAAAAAAACAGAAATGATATTATAGGGTGGATCCCTAGATTCTAGACTCTTGTGTAGATGAGCAGTGAATTGCAAGTACACATCTAATGGTAAAAGCAGCTACGTTTATTGAAGACCATGAGAAGATGTCCTTATGGCAGGTCTGTGCTGATAAAAACATGTTAGGAACAGAAAAGTGGTGCTGGGATGATAGGAAAATAAAAAGCAGAGCACACATAAATCAGGCATTTGGGTTTTAAAGGAAGTACACTCTAGTCTGGGTGCTTTTTATTGGGTCTTTAGGTGAGATTGACAAGAAGAATTGACAGTGCTGAGTCATTTCAGAGTCTTTCAATAAGCCTGTGTGTCCCAGAACTCATGCTGATTTAATTATATGTATGAGATGTCCATATATTTATGAACCTTTTATAAGGTTTGGGTGGGAGGTTAGTGAAGGTCAGGCCAGGAGATCTAATATTCATGTGTTCTGGCTGGAAGGAACTTCAGTGATTTTCTGAGTTTTTGTTACTTTATTTTCTACCTATGTTAGAATAGTGGAAGGAGAATTGGCCCCGGGATGTGGCCCCACTCAAGTGAGTGTGGGGGAATGGTCTGCCAACCCCCATTGTGCCGCCTGTATTAGAAGGACTGCATTGGCATTTGGACTCCAAATCATATGTGTTGTGGTCAGGCTGAAAATTTGTATTTGTTCATGTCTAGAGACTTTGCAGGAAACTGAAATGAAGGGCAGAGGTAGCAAAAATTTACAGGCACTTGAATGTTGAGGTGGCATGGCTACTGCTGGGGCTTTCAGCCAGCTTTGAGAATCAAGAGCAAACAGCCCAGCAGAATGATTTACAAAGTTTTGAGTTTGGCCAAAAAGGAAGCTCTGATAAAGTTGGGACCTGCAAACCTGAAGCAGAGGAGAACCTGGTTGCTGAAAAGATTAGCATTAAACAGGTAAGTATTGCTTTGGAACAGAACAATAGAAAAGATGGCCTGAAGGCTTCACACCCTTTTGCAGGCTCAAAATTACAAGAACCAAAGACCTGGCTTTGAGAAGAGCACTTCAGGGTCCCATGTTTCAGGTGACTGCAGCCTAGGGAATGAGATTTGATTCACCAGGATTCAGTTCACTCTGCTGAGGCATCTAGGCACTCAGAGGCCTCTGCCACTACCAGCGAGATGCAGACGCCCTCAGCTGCTGGTCCTGTTGGCGTCCGATGGTGTCGTCCATGCGGTGTTGGTTTTAGTGCGATCAAGGAGGCTTCCGCCTAGATTTCAGAAGGCCTGGCAGCCAGGCCATGTGCCCCTGAGAGGACAGTGTGTGAAGCTGTGAGTGTGGAAGTGGAAGTGCAGGGAAGACCCCAGGATCACTGGAAAAGCCAGGAAGGTGGAATGTCTCAGGAGAGCTGCAAGAAGTACACAAAGCTGGCTCAAGAGAAGAGCTTGAGGCACACTAATAGCAGGGCAAAGCCCCTGGGTTCACATCTCGCCACTGATTGCCCCTGTCTTGGACATAGGACTATGGGATTGAATGTTTGCTTGCTGAGTTTTAGTCTTGATTGGTCCTGTTCCTTTCTTTCCCCCTCTTTTTCTGCCTTTTAGAGTAGAAATGTTTATCTGTACCGCTGTACATTGGGAATGTTTAGCTTTCGTTTGTACAGGGCCTCAGAGCGGAGTTTGCCTTAAATCTCAAAGGAGACTTTGTATTTAGACTTTTCAGTTATACTGAAACTGTTAGGAATTCGGCAACATTTTTTTCTTCAAGTTTTATATATCAACATAACTCATTTTTTAAAAATTTTATTTGAAGGGGCTGGGGGTTTAGCTCAGCGGCATAAGCGCCTGCCTTGCAAGCAGGCAGTCGTGAGTTCGATCCCTGGTACCGATAAAAACGAAAAAGACAAAAAAAAAAAAAAAAAAAAAAATTTTATTTGAGGGTCTGGGGATTTAGCTCAGCGGCCTAAGCACCTGCCTTGCAAGCAGGCGGTCGTGAGTTCAATCCCCGGGTACCGATAAAAAAAAGAAAAAAAAATTTATTTGAAGAGAAAAGAAGCAAAACAGAAAAAAGGATAGAAATAATACAGAATTTCAAAAAATAAACACTAAGAAATCTCTAGTTGATAAATTACATGTTATCATCTTAGAAATAGTTGTTCAAGTTACAAAATCAAAGCATACGAAGTGAACATTCAGTGAGACTGCAAACAGTTCTCAACAATCCAACAAAAACCTAGTAATATGGTTATCTATCTTACACACTTAAACATACATGCAGTTATATCCTTTAGAGTACTTTCTTTTTCTCTCTTTTTTATAATACCATTTACACGTTTTGGGTTTTATTACTCCTACATTTCTTAATACTTTTTACACTAGAGACACAATGTGATATTTATAAATATGCTTCTTATTTATTTCACTTAGGATAGTCTCAGGTTGCATGCATTTACCTATGAAGGCCTCAAGATCATCTTTTTATAGCTAAGTAATATTCCATTGTATAAAAATACTGCATCTTTTTCATCCACTCTGCAGTTGATGGACATTTTGGTTGTTTCCAAGATTTAGCTATTACAAATTGTGCTGCTGTGAACATGGGTGCACATATATCACTGTGACATGACCTTTTCAGTTTTTCTGGGAGGGGAATAGCTGGATTGAATGGAACTTCCATTCCTTGTCTTCTGAGAAATTTCCATAGTGATTCCATAGTGGCTGCACTAGTCTACACTTTCACCAATAACGGAGCGGTGCCTCCCTCCCGCCTCACCAACATTTGTCATCAGTTGATTTCTTGATGGCAGCTATTCTTTCTGGAGTGAGATGAAATCTCAGTGCTGTTTTAATTTGCATTTCTCAAATGACCAGTGATGGTGAACATTTCTTCATGTATTTTTTTATTTTTAAAGAGGGTAAAATTAAACATAACAAAACAGATCATAAGATAACACTGTAAGAGACACAGATTTCAAAACAAGACGATCAGAGATCGATCTTCACATATTGTTTCTTGTTTTCTTCCAAATAGTAGTCCATATCTCCACATACAATGAATTCATACAAAACAAAATAGTGTAAAATTGATCAGAACAGGATGATGAAGGCATTTTAGGTCTTCAAGACCAGACAATGGGGGCTGGGGATTTAGCTCAGCGGCATAAGCACCTGCCTTGCAAGCAGGCAGTCGTGAGTTGGATCCCTGGTACCAATAAAAATGTAAAAGACCAAAAAAAAAAAGACCAGACAATGACGAAGTCAACAATGGCTACCATAATGTGTCTCATTCTCTTCAAACTAGTTGTTCATATTTTCATGTAGATTGAAATTAAACAAAACAGACTAAACTCACTGTGAACAAAGAATAATAATATAGCTGGATTTCACATCGTGACCCTATGGAATCAGCTCTGGGTACCTTAGTGTCTTTTTTTCTTCAGAGTAGCTGTTCATTTCATTGTGCATTGTATTACTGATCCTCATACTTTTTAGAAGTTCTACGCGTGCATGAGTCTCTACATGTATACCTATCCTTTCTGTATTAGAGGGAAAAACAGAACAAATGAAGACAAAACACAATAAATTCCTAGAAAAACATTGAGATGAATGAGACATATGAACAACAATAGCAAAGAGCCCAGAACACTAACAATACAGGCCTTCAAAACAAGGTGGTATGAGCATAACTATGGTTGTTATTTTACATAATAATCTTCAAGAGTTCCTCAGATCGCTATACAATAAT